CGGGGTTTCACCGTGTTGACCAGGATGGTCTCGATCTCTTGACCTTGTGATCCACCCGCCTCGGCCTCCCAAAGTGCTGGGATTACAGGCTTGAGCCACCGCACCCGGCCTTCTCTCTCTGTCTTAAGCTGGATCACTCTCTTGAACACAAACAAGACCAGGGACTTCCTCCAGGAAACGGGGAGCCCTCTGACTCCCCGGCTTCCTCCCCCTCCCAGCCCAGAGCAAACTCCATGAACCTCAGCGGCTGGGGTCAAGGCCAGGACAGGTGACAAGTGAGGACAGTAAGAACTGGTGGGGGCCACATTCCACAGGACAGATAGTGGCCATGGAAAATGTGTGTGTGTGTGTTTATGTCTTCCTCACAATAAAGTCCCAGCCTCTCCATTCCTCCTAAGGCCCCATCTTTCCCTCCCCATGCCCCAAATTCATTTTCTTTCTTTCTTTCCTTTACAGACAGAGTTGCTCTGTCAGCCAGGCTGGAGTGCAATGGCACTATCATGGCTTACTGGGGCCTCAAACCCCTGGGCTCAAGTGATCCTCCCACCCCAGCCTCCTGAGTAGCTGGCACTACAAGCGTGGCCACCTTTCCTAGCTAATTTTTATTTTTTTTATTGTTTTTTATTTTAAAGATGGGGTTTCACCATGATGGCCAGGCTGGTCTTGAACTCCTGACCTCAGGTGATCCACCCACCTCGGCCTCCCAAAGTGCTAGGATTACAGGTGTGAGCCACAGCGCCCGGCCTCCTAGCTAATTTTTAATTAATTAATTTTATTTTAGTTTTGAGACACAGTCTCGCTCTGTTGCCCAGGCTGGAGTGCAATGCACGCTCTCTGCTGACTGCAACCTCAACATCCCAGGTTCAAGAGATTCTTGTGCCTCAGTCTCCCGAGTACCTGGGATTACAGACACTGGTCATCATGCCCGGCTAATTTTTGTATTTTTAGTAGAGATGGCGTTTCACCATGTTGGCCAGGCTGGTCTCGAACTCCAGACCTCAGGCAATCCGCCCACCTTGGCCTCCCAAAGTGTTGGGATTATAGGAGTGAGCCAACGCACCTGGCCTAATTTTTTTTTGTAGAGATGAGGGTCTGGCTATGTTGCCCAGGCTGGTCTTGAACTACTGGCCTCAAGCGATCCTCCTGCCTCAGCCTCCCAAAGTGCTGGTATTAGAGAAGTGAGCTACTGCACCTGCCTCATTTTCTGATACAAACCAACACAAACACCCCAGCTCCTCCCTGCCCATGCCCTGCCTCTGTCCTGAGGTTCCCTTACCTACAGTGGAGTGAACTTTCCTTCTACCTCCATTCGTCCAAATCCTCCCCAACCAACAACTCCTCTGGAGGCTCCAGATCGCTGTGGTTAGGAAAGATCACGGGGCCGGGAGCGGTGGCTCATGCCTGTAATTCAACACTTTGGGAGGCAGAGGCTGGCAAATCACTTTCAGGTCAGGAATTCTAGACCAGCTTGGCCAACATGGTGAAACCCTGTCCCTCTCTACTAAAAATACAAAAATTAGGCCAGGCGCCGTGGCTCATGCCCATAATCCCAGCCCTTTGGGAGGCCAAGGTGGGCGGATCACTTGAGGTCAGAGGTTCAGGACCAGCTGGCCAAAATGGCGAAACCCCGTCCCTACTAAAAATACAATAATTAGCCCGGCGTGGTGGCGGGCGCCTGTAGTCCTAGCTACTTGGGAGGCTGAGGCAGGAGAATCACTTGAACTTGGGAAGTGTAGGTTGCAGTGAGCCGAGATCGCGCCACTGCACTCCAGCCTGGGTGACAGAGTGAGACTGTGTCTCAAAACAATAATAAATAAATAAAAATAAAAAGTAAAAATAAAAATAGGGCCGGGCGTGGTGGCTCAAGCCTGGAATCCCAGCACTTTGGGAGGCTGAGGCGGGCGGACCATTAGGTCAAGAGATCAAGAACATCCTGGCCCACATGGTGAAACCCCGTCTCTACTAAAAACACAATAAATAAATAAATAAATAAAAATAAAAATATTAGCTGGGCATGGTGGTGAGCACCTGTAATCTCAGCTACTCAGGAGGCTGAGGCAAAAGAATTGCTTGAACCCAGGAGGAGGAGGTTGCAGAGAGCAGAGATGGTGCCACTGCACTCCAGTCTGGGCGACAGAGCAAGACTGTCTCCCCAAACAAA